ACGACTTTGTTTACCTATTATACAACTGCTGCACATGAATTCGTCGTCCTTGGCCGAACATACTATTTCGTGTTTCGCCAAACAACTTTTTACGTACTGTAAATTCTGATGTGCCATGCGCTCGTGCCAAACAGACAACCTGTTTTCGACAGCTACCGTCGCGTACCCGTTTGTCGGTACTTCGACCTTGATGTTTAACTCAAACAACCTTCCGCATCTCTTACCTGAGCATACGGGTTTCCCCTGTTTAGTTAACATACACGTCTTACTATCTGACGTCATTACTAAACCTTTATCCATCGCGGCTCCGCACGAAAATAAATTAAATTTTAGTCCTGGCACGTGCAACACGTTTGCCATGTAATTTTTATTCCAATTACCGTTTACGTATGATAATATATTAATATTACCTCTACCTGCTGCATACAGATTCGTCCCATCACCTATCGTGATTTGTTGCGTATTGTCCAGTGGTTCATAACTTGAAAACCACTCTCGATTTGCGCTCATATGATCCGACGCGCCCGAGTCTAGTACCCACGCATCTGTTGCAATATTATTTATACTTGACTCGCTTACGAATGCGTTCAAGTTCGCACCTATAGTACCGGTTTTACCACCGTGTACACTTTGTAGAAAATTTCTACAGTCTCTTTTATAATGACCTAGTTTACCACAGTAATAACACTTAATATTACTTTTATTCGGAAATTGATTTTTACCTTTTCCATAATTACGACTGCCGTTTCTTCCATCAGATCTGTTTTGAAATTTGGCCGGAAATGCACTCGATTTCTCTTGTTCACCAACTTCACCTTTGATCTGGATAACCCGTGATTCTTCAATCAACAATCGACTAGTCAAATTATTTATATTTTTACTTCCCGTCGGGACTGAATCCCAAGCACTGTAAAAATGATTATATTCTTTTGGTAGTGTCATTAGTATTTTTGTCATAACCATGTTATCCGTAACTGGTTCACCCGCTACTTTCAGTTTCCTTCCTAAATTGACCAATTTAGAAATATGCGTCGACATGTCATCTGTCGACTCCTTTGAATAACTGAAAAATTTTTGTTGAAGCAAATGTAAACTTGCCTCAGACTTCTGCTCGTAAATACTCAGCAGTTTCTCCCACATTTCCAATGCAGTTTCACAGTTAATCAAATATTGTAATGGACCATCGTCCACTGAGGTAACTATTATTTTCTGACATTTACCGTCCGCTTTTTGCCAAGCGTTTGTATGCCTTTGCCAACGTGCTTTGGCATCCTCGTCGGTCTCTCCTGCCGACTTTTTTATAGGTAGACTTGGTTTCGTCCATTCACCTGAAACTATCTCACCTACTTCCAAGGCATTTAAAATGACCTTCATCTGGAACTTCCATAACGACCAGTTTTCCGCACATAATTTTGTTATCTTCACCGTGTCTTCCATGACCGATGGATTCCAGTATACTTTCCTGTATAACAATTTATAACAAAACTTTACCTATGTACACTGTTCCGCCGTTTTCCGAAATCCAGGATATCTCCGACTGGTTGTAGTTTTCTGCGTTAATACAAATATAAAAATACTTCGATCACGAATCCACTAGACTGTTTGTCTTGGTTATTGACTGGGCCCATAACCTGTTGAAAGTGAAGCTTGACGGACTAATGATGTTAGCATTAATATAATAAGTAATAACACGACAATATGATTATGTATAAGTATAATATATAATAACGTACAACTGGACAATTAAACTGTGACTATACACACACACCGCGTACACTCGGTATGACAGCGTCTGTGCAAGTGAATATTACATACATCAAAGGCCCTATATATATGCACGACCGAGGTCATGTTACATCCGTGAGAGAGTGAGTCTTATGCTCGTACATAACTAGTTACTATATTGTACACACGTGTCAAGGCTGACTACATGTACTACATATTAATTGTATATTTCAACACCCTCCCTCAATTAATAATCTCTTTAATTGTAGTCACTCCTATGGCTGACCGCAACTTCTCGAATCGTTCCTTAACCAAAGGCTTGGTTAGAATGTCCGCAATCTGGTCCTCTGTTCCAATGTACTGTAGTTGGAATTGTCCCTCTTCGTATTTCTCCCGTATGAAGTGGTACCGTACGTCTATATGTTTTGTCCTCTTATGAAACTCCGGATTCTTAACTAAACGTATAGCACTCTGATTATCTATAAATAAAATTGGTTGTTTGTCACCTGTTGTTGATAAGCTTGTTATCAACCGTGTAATCCACAAGATCCCTTTGACAGCTTCACTGGCCGAAATATATTCAGCCTCTGTCGATGATAACGACACACAATGTTGTCTCTGCGATGTCCATGAAATTATGCTTGACCCGTACCTGAATAGAAATCCTAACGTCGAACGTCGTGTCTGAATGTCACCTGCGTAATCTGCATCGCTAAATATTTCTAATGACAATTTTGTTTTGTTATTAAAGTACAAGCCATAATTAAATGTTCGCTTGATATATCGTATAATCCGTTTTACCAAGTTCCAATGAGCTTTAGTTGGTTTTGCTAAGTAACGACTAGCAAAGTTTACTGCATATGCTATATCTGGTCTTGTTACCTGTGATAAGAACAGTAAGCTACCTACTGCCTGCCTATAAGGAATATCTTCATTCAATATTTCCGTATCTTCCTTTTGTTCAAGTGTATGTGATTTATCTATCGGTATTGAAAGTTCCTTGACTTTATTCGATCCATCTTCGTATCCTGGTGGTTGTACCATGTAAATTTCTTCCTGTAGTTCTCCGTACAGAAATGCTGTCTTGATGTCGAATTGTCGTAGTATTAATTTTTCCAAAGTTTTTTTTACAATACTATTGTCTCATTAGGAGGTTACCTACCTACAAACAAAACCATTTGACTTATAAATTAAAATTTACTTTGAGACTGAAGTTAGTTATTAATTTAACTAATTGCTCTAATATCTAATGTATACTATATGCTATACAATTGACCCAACTCATGAAATACACCTTTTACAGTGAGTTTATACATGTAGGACATAATTAGGTACCCCATATATGTGCAACATTGGCCATAAGATGTTAATAATGTCAATGTGACTTATAATATAAAATAGTTGATCCATATTTTACTAAAAAAAATTATTAAGTACGGATTTTTACAAAGATTTTTCCAAAATTCACCAGAATGTATAAAAAAAAAAATATAAAAAGTGGGCCAGTGATATCCCATTTTACGGTAGGTACCTATGAGAAAGTAGTTGTCCGATAATTTTCATTCAAATTTTAAACACCTAATTGTGTTTTCTTCAATACATAAAGATATGAATACATTTATGTTGACAGTTGAAGTTCATATATTCTATTGGCAATGCGTGCTGGTATAAAGTCAGTAAACGGAATAACATTATTATTGTTTTTTTTTTTTTATCATCCATACTAATATCAAATATGAGTACCAACCTATTAATTAAACTTATAAAGGTATATAAATACTTGCACATAAATACCATAGACTTTTTAAACATTTTTGTTATTTGCCTATATATGTATGATATAGGTAGGTATTGACCATTATAAGGTAACATATTTCAAAGTTTTGGTTTAAAATATTATAATCTGGACAGTTTCTTCACAATAGTTATATTGTTGAAGATGTTTTTCAAATGAATACATTAACCTACTATGGATCTTAAATGTTAAATTACTATACCTTTGTGATATTGATATATTTGTACACCATTAACTTTACCGGTATAAATGTATAATGAAATACTCTATTGTGATTTGTGAAGTTATATCATATTATGTTTGAATAATAATTATTGCTATTACTACTTTGTGGAAGCAATGTAAAATTAACTTACAGATAACAAGTTGACTTATTTTTGTATAAGATATTTTTATGTTCAGTAATTTGAACACTATAAAATTAATTTTGTATCATGGTAAAAAAAATCCTTTTATTGAATATTATTTTTAAGATAAAACAAAAATAACAAAATATAATATTTCAAATTGAATACATTAAATATTCACATGGGGCGACAGTTGAATTTTTTACAGGTTTTGTTTTTTTCCTTGTGTCATCAAATAGCTCCCAGTTGTTTGGTCCTCGTTTTCCATAAGCATAATAATGCCCTACAGAGTTTCTTAACCTACTTAATCCTTGTTGATAGCAAAATACACCTCTCAGTTCAAATGCTTTTTCATTTATGATAAGTACATGTGGGATATTTGACAACTTTATTTTAGGATGAGATGCTGCTTCGGTGCTATGCTGGCTGCTATTTATTTCATCCTCCTCTGAAATAAAATAGATTTTACTTATATAAATTAGGAAAAAACCATATTTTAATCAATAAGATAAATACAAAATGAATACCTATCCTATTGAGGAGCTCAATAAATAAATGCATTTGTATTGTAGTTGTCACTGTTTTGTTACCAATGCACGGTGTACTGTTCTTTTCAGTATGACCACATATTGAAGTATTAGTTCTCATTCTACTATCTATGTCCTGTTGTAGGTAACTCAAGTCCTCATTTGTAATTTGAATATTTATATAAGGTACAGATATAGGGGTTAATGTTGTTTTTTTACATTTTAGATTTGTACACTCTATTATGTCTAAAGCCGATGGAAGATCATTGAATAATTGTTTAATTATATGTCCTATTGTGGTATCACAAACTGCTAAAGTAGTACCATATTCTAAAAATTCCATACGTGGTTCAAATTCACTTATCTGAAATAAATATACAAACATTATAAACCATACAAAATATATACAATACAAATTGCATACAAAATTATGATATCTATTAGGTATGCAATCCATTTTTTTTATTACAGTGAATATTTCAATAATATTCATGTTAGTTCACAACAACATAAAAATGAAATATATAAATAAATTATTATGTAGATTCATACATAAATTTAAACAAAAAAATAAAATACAATTTTAAAGTATATATGTATTTCAATTTAAATACCAACCATTATACTAGATCTATCTGAATAAGTTGACGATGTAATACCTTGTCTTACAATTTTTGATATAAATGAAAAATATTCATTATTTTCCAAAAAATTGTCTAATTCTTGACTGTATTTGATACTATCACAATAAGCAACCCTAATAATGGAGGAAACCGTATCAAACGCACAAGTGTTGCTCATAATTATTTTCCCAATGCTTTGGACAGCACAACTTTTTAGTTCCTCTGCTCTAGATCCATTTTTTAATAATGGCAATGATAATATATTTTTCGATTTATTTATGTCCAAATGCCTTAAATGAGGATTAGGAACAAGGTATGATTTTGTAGTCCTTTGTTTTTTAGATCTACGTTTCCAACTTTCTACTGCTGTGTCTTCTTCATTTAAATTGTCACTTTGAATATTACTAACATTATCTATTTGTGGTACTAAGTCTTCTCTTTCACTTTGATCATTGATAATATCTGCGTTTTGGACTTCATTTTCAGTTTGATGACTGTTATTATTTGCATGTAATTGAAGGCTGTCTAATAATACATTTTGATGTGAAGACCGTAAAAGAGATGTACCACGCAGTGAAATTATGTGTCTTTCTAAAAACGTCTCAATATTTGTAGGAAGCGAAATATCTTTAAATGTTAATGTTTTAAGTTTTTTGAAGCTGGATTCTACAGCTGCAGAACTTGTAGTTTCATCTCCAAATCCAAAAATAGGTACCATTAACCCAGACCATAAAGGGAGAAGTTTTAAACATTTAATTATGTGTGGAATCAAAGTTGGCATGTACATTGCATTAATTCCTGACCCTTCTCTTAACAATAATTCACTTCTTTTTAAAATTTCTTCTGCCCAGGATTTAAACGGATTGTTTAAATTATCCAGACCTTCATATTGTCGGTCATATTCTTCCTCCAATAAAATTCGTGCTTCATTTTCGTTATCAGCCATCAGCATAATTTCATTAAACTCTTCTTCAAAATTGATAAATCCTGATGATGTAGCCTCTATCAATCTTATTTTATGGCGCTCACAAGCTGTTTCATGGCCCAGTTCAACATCATTTCCATCTGTTTCACTAGTAAGTACTATAAACATTGATAAAATTAAAGAATAAATGTCTTCAATGGATTGACTTTTTATTAATAACCCAAACACTCTAAGAATTATTTCTTTTACTCGTCTAGATGTTGTTTTTAGAGGTGGCCATCTAGTTATCATTTTTATAAAATGAGCAACATCTGTTCTAACGAAGTACCGGGGCAGCCAATGAGAATTTGAATCTAACTGATTTAATGTCAAATCAGCACATACATTAAGATACTCTTGTAGAGATGAATATTGCGTGAAGCATTGTACTATGGCAGATATGAGGGCTAATGACTGATCACACACTGTTTCTTTTGGAGACGGAACATTACAATTAAGCCATCTTGCAAACCAGTTAAATATAGCAATATTTGTATGCCGTTCACTTATCATGTTACTCACTGTAAAGCTATGTTTTTTAGAAGCATCATATACTAATATTTCATATAAAAACAATGATTTTGTTTTTTCCATACCACATTTTTTGAAATTACTAATAACAGATCCAGTGGCATCGATTATAATTTTTGGTCGAGGACAATTTCGACAGTAATCCCGGTACACATGAATTTGTTCACTACTTTGATAATGTAGAAAAAAAGGAAAACAACCCATATCTTGTAAGACATTCTTGTATTCTTCTTCTTCTTTCATTAATGCCAAAGCTGTTATTGTGTCTTTATTTCTAAGTTTCTCTGAATTATGTCTCCATTTTAAAGTTCTTAAAGCTCCACCAGATGGAATAATTGCAGGTTCAGGGTCACCTAAAAATTCAGGTTTAAACTCAAATAAATTTATACGCAGTGGTATAAGGATATAAAGATATTTATTTTATAAATTAGTAATTTTTAATGAGTCATACAAATATTTTATATTAATGTTTAAGTATTTATTTCTATTTAAGTCATATTTTATTGATACTAATGATCTATTGTATTAATATAATGCTATTTATTAATTATAACTTATTAAACAGTATTAAATTAACTATAATAAATTAATTTTTAATAATTCATGAAGTTATTTTTATAAAAATCATGTACCTAGGTAAGTCCTACTTTGTTTTTTTCCATGCACTAAAAATATTATTTTTTAAAAGTATTATATGTTATTGTAGCAGACAACTCAAAGAAAATGTATGAATCTATAAGTGCCTACATTTTGTATCTAATAGTTATCAGTAGGTACTGTCGTATATTGTACGCCTGTACGGGTGATACCACAGAACTAAAATTGTACTTATTAAATTTTTCAAACTATTTAGGGAATCATAATTAGTGGAAAATTAAAAAATTAAATTAAATTACCTTTTTATTAACATAATAATAATAATAATTATTATTTCATTTTGCAAATAAGAATACAATACATTAAAATTAAGAAAATAGAATAGTATGCAACACTCCCTATAAGCTTAGCTTGTATTCTCGCTTGTATTGGGAGAGTAGAGTCAGATTATAATTTAAGTATACATGTTATTTTGCCAAAATGTCAGAAAGAATAAATAAAAATTAAGATTAAGCAAGGTATAAAATGTAACAATATATGAGTTAAGATTTGTTTAAATAATATAACAGTATAGTAGTGAAATTGCTTTTTTATATAAATCATTATAATTGTCACTATGTAGCAATATGGCGGTATCATCAGCAAAACAAGAAATGGCATCATTTAAATTTAATAGACCATTTATATAAATAAGAAATAAAATAGGCTTTATACAGTTCCTTGTGGTACCACATGCGTAATATTAACAGGATCACTAATAACACCATTTAATCTGACAACCTGTGTTCTATTTCTTAAGTAAGATTTGAAAAGATTTAATGTAGAACCTCTAGTACCAGCATAATCAAGTTTTTTTAATAAAATAACATGATTAACCGAGTCAAAAGCTTTTTGAATATCAAGAAAGATGCCCATCACTTTATTTTAGATTCTGAGTGAAACGATGAATGTATTGATTTTACAATGATGTGTGTTTTTTTTTATTTAATTTTTTTTTTTTTGTGTCTGTCATCACGTTTTAGGACAGTAAAAGTGCTTGGATTTTCTTCAACAGTATCCACGAGGCCACGAGTCATCCATTCTTTAAGCTTACGAAATTTATTACTAGTAACATGAACGAGTTTCACTGTACTAGAGAAATTAATATATAAATTAAATTTATTATTAAATATATTAATTAATGTATTAACATCACTAATATTAGATAAACAGGACCAGTTATCATCTTTTAACATATTATTTAAAAGATTAAAATCAATTTTAGTATATTGTTTTAAATTATTTTTAGTATGAGTAGTGTTGATTTTACCATAGTCTATGTTAGTTAATGATAGTTGCAAAATGATCTGTAATATCACATTTAAGAATTATAGGATTAATATTATCTATTTCAAAGTTTTTGACAAAAATATGATCGATAAAAGTGGCTGAATTTGTTACTACTCTAGTATACCCATTTATACAGGATAAAAAACAATGACTAGGTAAGATATTGAGGTATTAAATAGTTTTGATATTATTGTTTAAGATATTAATATTGAAATCTAAACATATAATTACACATTGCTTACTATCAAACGTAGATAAATATAAATTGAAATGAATTAAAAAGTCATCAATATTTAAATATAATTAAATATTATTTTATTAGGTACCTAATAAATAATACTAAGATAGGTACCTGGTTTCATGAGCCGTACTGCTTCAAATTCTCTATATGTTTCACTAGATTTTCCACAATTTACAATAGCCGACACCACATTGATTTTAGCTTTTCCAGTTAATCGTCGTTTTTTAATTATTTTATGTGGATCATCAAACTGTCCAGTGTATGTGCATTCCATAAGAACTCTTTTATAACAAATTAAATTACAGTTAATTGCTGGTATTATTATTTTGTTGTATTTTGTTATGAATAAAAATAAAAATCACAAGATACCTAAATAATTCAATTATATATCTATACTATACTATTATATGTAGGTACCAATAATATTTCAAGTTTTATAATAGTTATTAAATGTATATTATCATAACTATAGATTTATTAGTCTTTAATTAGGTAATTCATTAAAATAACTACCTAGAATTTTCTGATGGTTTTTCAAATATAACTCCCTTAAAATAAGAATAGCATATTGAACATCTTCCATCTATTACAATAAAATGGTTTCCTTCATCTGTAACTTTAGCTCTTCTAAAAGCAATACAGCAAGGTAAATTTGTATGCATCCATGTATGTTCAGCTAAAATATTTGTCCATGATCCTTTCGGTAGTACCAAATAAGAACGAAAACTATTTTTATTTTTATATAGAACTTCATTAGGTTCTATTTGCTTCCATTCATCAACAATGTAATGGTAAAATGTTTTGATGGTAAGTTGTCTACATTGTCACCACTGCTATCACTAGATTCATCTATAAATATTAAATTATAAGTACCTATATTTCATAAAATATCAACCAGTAGGTATGTAATTTAGTAAATAAATAAAAAATCATAAATATTCGATATTAAGAGATTTAAGACACATTGTTATTTAAATTTTAAATTTTATTTTATTTTTGAAAATATTTTATTGTAATTTTATAACATTACCAAATGCAACGATAGGCTCAACACTTTGAACATTATTTTCAGAGTCAAGTCTCTTGTTTGCTATACCAATTCCAAGCTTTTCATGTATACCATGGCGTCCTTGTTGAACAAATATATAAAGCGCACTTTTGCTAATAGAACCACCTAGTCGATTACTGATATCTGACCATACAGTGTTTGATGCTACAACAATTTCTAAAATAATAAGATTATAATTTAATTAAATTCATGAATTAGCTTCAGAAATATTATATACTTTGATTAAATTGGTTTTGTTTTTATTTGTATTTATAAAAACAATGCATAAACATATATTATATACATAATACCTATATCACTAGATATATTATATCACATGAAACAAAGATTGAAATTAACTTTAATTAGGTACCTACCTACTGTTCAGAGATTTACCTAACTACTTACTTTTCATTAAACTAGGACTTAGGTAGTACTGTAGTAGTAGAACTTCCTACCATTGAAAATATCTCATTCAAAAATTAATTTTTTTCAATATGGAATTAAAGATACTAATATAGGTACTTATAATCTACTATATGTGTTTATATTATTACAATTTTAAATAAAAATGTAGGTAGGTACTTACTTTTTACACCATTGTTTTCTTCAAGTACTGCACTTTTATAGTAGAGTACTGCGTTTATGATCCTTAGTGGATCCACTAAAGGTTTCCTCCCAACCATGATTTTGTATTGTAATTTGTAATAAGCAAATTAAAAATATATTTTAGATATTAAAAAATAAAATATAAAGTACGAAAAACTGTTTTGTCTCACTCCACTACACGATGGTCGACTGTCAACTGCAGAATCGTAGCTAATGATAGGTACCTACCTACCTAATATTTTAAACCAAATTATTATACCTATTTTTAAACAATTGATTGTGCCTTTATAATTTTATTCCACATGAAAACTATTTTAAGAAAAGGCGGTATAGTAGAGTCAAGAGACAATGGACGGCCACCTTTGTCGGCTAGCGCGTGTGTAACAGTCAGTAGGTAGGAAAAAAGTTGGTGGGTAATCTATTCTAAATTTAAAACATTCATACTTACAGCATACTTAAAATAAATTGTCTTAATTATTATAGTAAACATTATTAAATAATAGAAGCTATTTTTCAAAGTTTATTTCCAAATATTTTACAATAATACTAATAAAATGTTAATTCACGGACATAGTGTAAGACATAGCTAATACCAGTAATACCTATAATAAAATGACCACACCATTTTGTTTGAATCTAAAGAAAAATTAAATAAATAATAATTAATAAACGTATTGGAAATAATAAATTGTACAGCATTTTGATCAGAAATTAATATTATCCATCCTCTCGTGTAATGGATACACATTGACCATAATAAGGGTACCTAAATGGTAAATAGGAGAATAATATATTATTAAGTAACTAATATTTTATTTTTAATGTCGGCATCAAAGTAAATTTTTCATAAATGTATTACTCACACATATTGGTAACACTGCACTTTTTTATTAAAATTATTAAAATTAATTTAGGTACACATTTTAGTAACTACCTAGATTTTTTTTTTTTTTATTATGTACAGTTGTAACTTGTAATTGTGAAACCGCTTCATACTATACCATTTGTTAAATCATGTTTTAAAATTATCAGTTACTAATGAATCGTCGTTTATAGTCAAGTGGTGTTTCATTATCTTTTATTTTCTCAAAGTTTTATTAAATTGTTTTATAAGTTATTTCAATTTTTCAAAAATGAACTTTAAAAAATGCTCAAACGATTTTCAATCATTAGTTTATCGTATACTACCTACTAAAAAAGGTGTTCAGAAATATACGGTGGAGTATGTAGACATTTTCCACTTAAACTGATGAAATATCCCTGTAAAAAATCTCTCTGTAAAAAAAGTGTTCAGAAATGAACGGTGAAGTATGTAGAAATGCCCGCTTGAACTGAAGAAATCTCCCTGTAAAAAAGGTGCTCAGAAGGAACAAAACCATACTACTTATTGAGTACCTAGGTGCCTAATTTCTGAGTTATTATAGTAATAACTAATATGTAAATATGTTTATAACAAGGGGCAAGGATAATAATCCATAAAAATAAAATTTAAAAAAAAAAACAGTATAACGTGTATATTATAACTGAAAAACTACTCGTTCGAGTTTTGGTTTAGATATAATATGCTTTCTTTATAAGCATAAAAAAGTGAACATTCTTAAAAATTCACAATGTATAAACATTAAACAAAACAATTTATTTATTTGGGTTGTATGTGAATTTAATTTATTTAAATACATAAAAACTAGGTACCTATAGTCCAACCATTATAGGCACATGTGCAAATTATGTATTATACCTATGCATGATACAATTTTATTATGAAATATATTTACGATAATAATGCACCTTTCAGTGCGGCGAGATCAAAAACCAAAATATTGGGGTTAAGACTATGGGAATAATCTAGTAAACATGTGCAATGCATTTTGAAGCTGTGTTTAACAAAATTATAGAAAAACATTTGTGTATACCTAATATATTTTAAAATGTCGTAATTAAACACAAAGTAAGGTCTTTGAATTTTGGGCGTAGAAACAAAAACGTTATCTGTAGTCCTGGTACTGGACTATTTTAAAAACTACTCACTTATAATAGGTATGTTAAAATAAATATACGAGTTAAATATTATAATAGTCTCAAAAATACGATAGCGCTTGTGTAACAGTCATTAGCAATAATAATAGGTAATCTATTATATATTATAAAAATAAAAAAATAATTTTCAAACTCATACAGTCATACAGCATACTTATAATAAATTGTCTTAATTACTATAGTAAATAATATTAAATAATGGAAGCCTAAAGGTAAATTAAAAGTTTATTTCAAAATAATTTACAATAATAATACTAATAAAATGATAGTTCACGGAGATAGTGCCTAGCCAATACCTATAAGATAATGACCACACCAATTTGTTTGAATCTAAAGATAAATTAACTAAATAAAAATTAATTAAAGTATTGGAAATAATAAATAGTACAGCATTTTGATCAGAAATTATCCATCCTCTCGTCTAATGGATACACATTGACCATAATAAGAGTAGATGGTAAATAGGAGAATAATATAATATTACGTAATTAATTAATTTTTTTAAATGTCGGTATCTAAGTATAATCAAACATTTTTTCAAATACCTATAGATTAATATATTACAATACATAGGTACAGATTGTATTGGTGACCGTGACAGTTTTTTTAAATGAAACAATAAAGTTATATGTACTCCTGGAATAATATATAAGCTAATTTATACCCACGTACATAATGTTCAAATAAATCCACTTGTGAAATTACAAATGTCTCAAAAATACGCTTTGTATGTTCAAACAATTTTAATTTTAGAGCTTTTATTGTATGCATTTGAAAATTCAAATAACCCATGTCGGGGGCTGGCGTGACGTCTCGCCCCCCCCCCGACGGGTTTTTCGATATCCCCCCTGAACGAAGAACGTACGAATGTTTATATTGCGCGTACAAATACGTACGAATAGAGGGCAATGTATTGGTACAAAAAAAATTTCAAATAATCCATGTCGGGGGCTGGCGTGACGTCTCGCCAACCCCCGACGGGTTTTTCGATATCCCCCCTGAACGAAGAACGTACGAATGTTTATATTGCGCGTACAAATACGTACGAATAGAGGGCAATGTATTGGTACAAAAAAATTTCAAATAATCCATGTCGGGGGCTGGCGTGACGTCTCGCCAACCCCCCGACGGGTTTTTGATATATCTGAGCCATTTTGTTCATACAAATTCTGTAACAATGCTTACAAATTCGTACAAAAAGCATACTAAAAGATAGAAAAATAAAATTTCAATATTTTGAAAATGGGGGGGCTGGTGTGACGTACGTGGCAAAATTCGCTAGTAGAATCGAAGAATTATATTACAAACTCTGCGCGGCAAGTACGATAGGTCTATCTCAAGCCGAGGCAGATATAGTGAAAAAACAAACAAAGAAACAGGCAATGATCATATTTATGACAGGATTACCTCATCACCTATATACAGTACTGAAAAGTCGAAACCCCAGTACATTGGAACAATGTTTTAAAACGACAATCGATGAGATGCTCGAATATGAATCAAAAGTAGAAATGGATAAATTACAAAACTAAATTAGTAATGGAAAACAGGCAGGCGTCAATAACGATGAAAAACGACAAAATGGTGGTAATGCAAATAACGCAGTTAATCGCGGAGGAAACGGTAATGCAAATCAAAGCAATAGAAATAATAATTTCAACGGGTATAACAACAGATATGTTAATCACAACAACCGCAATAATTATGGGAATAACAATCAGAGCGGATATGGCTCACACATGGTTAATCGCGGCGGTTATCGGGGCGGAAACGGTTATGGACGAAGTTTCAATGCCAATAATGTACAACAGAATAATAATAATCGAGGCACCGGATGCTACACTTGTGGCAGATCTAATCACATAGCACGAGATTGCTGGAGCAATCGACCTAATGCGCAACAAAATACGTATAATAATAATCGTGTAAGCGGCACGCGTAATGCGAACAACAACAATAATGTTCGTAGGGATAATAACAATATTCAGGGTGTACTTTGCAGTTACTGCAATAAGATAGGTCATGAAATTTCAAATTGTTATACAAAACAGAAAAACGAAAGAAATACGTCGGGAAACGCTAACGGACCATCACCAGTGGGAGTCAGATTGGTCCAAGAAATAATTCAAGACCCACACACAGGATTTTCCACATCACAGCAAAATTAATAGACAATCACATTACTTTAAAATCACCTAGTTTTAATAAGGATCAAATTAAATTATTGGTCGATACTGGGGCGGATCTAAATATAATTAAAATTAATGCATTAAAAGGAAACACTGAAATTAACGAAAACGAAAAAATTTATTTGAAAGGCATCAATGAAAAAATAGTTTCTACAATAGGAAAAACAGAAATAGAATTAATAATTAATAATGAAGCATTCGAAACACAATTTTATGTTGTAAACAATATTTTTCCGATTTTGGCAGACGGGATTATTGGTAATAAATTTCTAATAGATAATCATGCAGTAATAGACGTCGCTAATAACACGCTAACAATAAATAATAATAAAACAGGAAGCGATAGTGATATCTGTTTTACATTAAAACCGCGCTCAGAAACCATAGTACAAATCGATATACCCGATAAAGAAATGAATAATACAAATATTTTAATAAATAAACAAGAATTAATACCGGACGTATATTGCGCGAATATTTACAATACAGTCAAAAACAATAAAATTACTATAAGCATATTAAATATATCTGAAATGACGCAGGAAATAAATGTAGGTCAAGCGCGTAATATTTCATACGACACGGATGTTTCGACAGATAGCGTACGGTGTATAAACACAATTGACACTGAACTCTCGCGTCGGGTCAGGGCGTTGATACGTACTGATCATCTTCAAGTTCACGAATATAATTCGATAGTAAAAATATGTGAACATTACGCGGACATTTTCTATTTATAAGGGGATAATCTTACGTGTACTACAGCAGCAGAACACGTAATAAAAGTTCCTAAAGATTTGAAACCGATTTATAAAAAAACATACCGTTTACCGTTTTCACAACAACCAGAG